GCTATAGGCGCCGAGCCAACTGTCAACTATCTTGATGAAAAAAATAAATTTGTGACTCACCAGTAATTTCCTTTAGGGTCATAAACATGGATTGCTAGCTAATCTTAAACCCATATTTGGCTTATTTGGTATCAATTTTTCAAAAATGTGTCTACTGAAGTGGTATCTAACTTTTCCTTAAATTGTGCCCTTTTCAGTTAACATTCTCTTATCCCTACTTCCCAGGCAGAGAATTTCAGACATTAACAGTCCTTACTGTATGTTAGAATCACTGTGCTATATTAATTGACATTCTATCTAAAAATTTACAGATGGCATTTTATTTGAAACATTTGCCTCATCTAAATCTATCCTGTCTTAACCACATAGTTTATTTTGAATTAAAAAATACATTTTCCAGGCCGGGTGTGGTGGCTCAATGCCTGTTGTCCCAGCGCTGTGGGAGGCCAAGGCAGGTGGATCACCTGTGCTCAGAGGTTCGAAACCAGCATGAGCCAGAGTGAGACCCCGTCTCTGCCAAAAATTGCCAGGTGTTCTGGCAGGTGCCTGTAATCCCAGCTACTTGGGAGGCTGAGGCTAGAGAATCACTTAAGCCCAAGGATCCAGGGGTTGGCGGAGGTTGCTATGAGCTATGATTCCACTGTACTCTACTGAGTGTCACAAAGTGAGACTCTGTCTCCATTTAAAAAAAAAAAAAAAGAAAAGCAAAATTAAAAAAAAATACACTTTCCAAATGCAAATGCCTCTGTAGCTTTGATTAGGAAACTAATAATACTCATTGCAAAAATTACAATACAGGAATGATGACACCAATGACGAAGAATTCCACTAGAATATTTTTTCAGATTGGACTGAATTTACAAATTAATTTTTTTTCTGATACAGACTCTCATACTCTATTGCCCTGGGTAGAATGCCATGGCACCATAGCTCATAACCACCTCAAACTCTTGGGTTCAAGTGATCCTCCTGCCTCAGCCTCCTGAGTAGCTGGGACTACAGGTGCCTGCCATAATGCCTGACTAGCTTTTCTATTGTTATTAGAGGCCTCACCTCGCCTTTATAAATTAATTTAGATAAGAACTTCCATCTTTACAATGTTGACATTTTATATTCAAAAACAAGGTTTGCATGTGGGCAGGGCACAGTGGCTCATGCCTGTAATCCCAGCCAGCACTCTGGGAGGCTGAGGTGGGAGGACTGCTTGAACTCAGAAGTTCAAGACCAGGCTGAGCGAGAGTGAGATACCTGTGTCTACTAGAAATAGAAAAATTAGCCAGTGTTGTGGTGGGCACCTGTAGTCCCAGCTACTTGGGAGGCTGAGGCAGTAGGATCACTTTAGCCCAATAGTTTGAGGTTGCTGTGAGCCAGGCAGATGCCACAGCTCTTACTCAGGGTAACAGAATGAGACTCTGTTTCAAAAAACAAAAATAAAAAAACCCTAAGGTTTGGTCTAGGTGCTGTGGTGTAATCCAGCACTTTAGGCTAGGAGTTCCAGACGAGCCTAAGCAAGATTGAGACCCCATCTTTACAGTCCTAAAAAGTAGAAAAATTAGCCAGGCATGGTGTATGCACCTTGTATTGTCAGCTACTTGCAAGGCTGAGGCAAGAGGATCCCTTGAGAATAGGATTTTGCTGCTTCAGCGAGCTATGATTGTACCACTGCACTCCAGCCAGGACAACAGATACCTTATCTTCAAAAACATAAATAGAAGGCTATCAAGAGAAGAGGCCATCTTCCTCAAGTTCCTCTTCCCCATCACTTAGGTCCCCTCCTCTCCAGAGGTAAATGGCAGCAACAGGTCTGTGAAGCAACATTTCAGAAATGCTTTGCACACGAATACTGAGTGAGCCATCTCTTATATGGATGACATGAAATCTTTCTGGCTTCTAGTTGTATAAAAGCATCTTAATATAGATCTTATATGCTTATTTATTTATTTATTTTGTAGAGACAGAGTCTTATTCCATCGCCCTCGGTGGAGTGCCATGGCATGTCACACAGCTCACAGCAACCTCCAACTCCTGGGCTTAGGCGATTCTCTTGCCTCAGCCTCCCGAGTAGATGGGACCACAGGTGTCTGCCACAACACCCAGCTATTTTTTATTGCAGTTTGGCCAGGGCTGGGTTTGAACCTGCAACACTCAGTATATGGGGCTGGCGCCCTACCCACTGAGCCACAGGCGCTGCCCTTATATGCTTATTTTTAAGATATTTTAATTTTTACCTCTATCATCAAAGGGATCATCTCCTCATTATATCTACTTAACTAGTTATTTAGTATAAGGTACTGATTTTGTAAATCAGTTTTGCTAAAAGCTCTTTTACTGGTCTCCGTTCTTATTTCTAATCATTTCTTGTAGATTCTCTTGTGTTTTCCAGATATACAACCTACAAATAATGATAGACTTGTTGTCTCCTTATTAGTATTCTTTACTTTTTGAGATAGGGTCTCACTCTGGTACCCAGATTAGAGTGCAGTACCATTTTCAGCTCACTGCAACTCAAACTGCTGGGTTCAAGTGGTCCCTTCTGCATCAGCCTGAGTAGCTGGGACAAAGGTGTCCACTACACCCAGATAAGGTACTGATTCTTTTCTTCTTTCACTTAACTGCTATGCCTAGCACTTCTGGAGCAGGACTGATAGGTTCAAAAGGGGCTCAGATTTAAAATAGCTCTGTCTAGGCCAGGTGTTGTAGCTCATGCCTGTAATCCTAGCACTCTGGGAGGCTGAAACAGGTGGATCACCTGAGCTCATACGTTCAAGAACTGCATGAGCAAAAGCAAGACCCTGTCTCTCTACTAAAAAATAGAAAAACTGAGGCAAGAGAATCTCCTGAGCCCAAAAGTTGGAGGTTGCTATGAGTTATGCTATCACCACAGCACTCTACCCAGGGTGACAGCTTGAGACTCTATCTCAAAAAATAATAAGATATCTGTCTAGGGTGGTACCTGTGTCTCAGTGAGTAGGGCACTGGCCCCATATACTGAGGGTGGTGGATTCAAACCCAGCCCTGGCCGAACTGCAACCAAATAATAGCAGGGCAATGTGGTGAGCACCTGTAATCCCAGCTACTCGGGAGGCTGAGGCAAGAGAATTGCCTAAGCCCAGGAGCTGGAGGTTGCTGTGAGCTGTGACGACACAGCATTCTACCAAGGTAAATAAAGTGAGACTCTGTCTTTACAAAAAATAAAATAGTAAGATATCTGTCTAGACTCAAATTGAGGATCTCATTGCTTTTTTTTTTTTTTTTATTTTGGTCATGATAGAGTTCTACTCTATGCCCTGAGCAGAATGCAATGGTGTTATAGCTCACTGCAGCCTCAGGCTGTGGGCATCCTCTTGCCTCAGCCTCTGAAGCTGCTAGGATTATAGGCACTTGCCGGGGTGCCTGGCTGGGTTTTTCAATTTTTTTCATGAGTCCGGATCTCATGCTTGCTCAGATAAGCCTCGAACTCCTGAGCTCAATCAAGCAATCCTCCCACCTCAGCCTCCCACAGTGCTAGGATTATAGGCATGAGCCCCTGTGCCTGGCTCATCAGTCTTCTTTTTACTAAGAGGATTTATAAATCCCAGAAATGTTGTTATGAATTGCTTTTGCTTAAGTAGTATAAATTTGGTCACATCTTTCCTCCTAATGAGAAGACAGGGAATTAATTACACTACTAAGTCGCCTGATAATGATGAATCATTTGCATTACTGATTTGAACTTCACTGATTCATAAGCTTCTTTTAATGTACTAATGGAGTTGAGTTTTTTTTTTTTTTTTGAGACAGAGCCTCAAGCTGTCTCCCTGGGTAGAGTTCTGTGGCATCACAGCTCACAGCAACCTCCAACTCCTGGGCTCAAGCAAGTCTCCTGCCTCTACCTCTCAAGTAGCTGGGACCACAGGCCTGGTTATTTATTTATTTTTTTTTTTGGTTGCAGCCATTATTGTTTGGCGGGCCTGGGCTGGATTTGAACCCACCACCTTAGGCGTATATGGCTGGCGCCTTAGCCACTTGAGCCACAGTTGCCAAGCCTGGTTAATGTTTTATTTAGACTTTTTTTCATCAATACTTGTGAGGTGGTCTATAGTTTTTTTCCTCTGGGCTAGCTTTGCCATGTTTTTGTTTCATAAAGAATCAAGATGACACTTTCCATCTGTTTCCATATTTGGAAAGGTCTGAAATAGCTTAGGAATTATCCATTCCTTGAAGGTCAAAAATAAGTCACTTTTGTGATTTAGTGAGCCTGGTACTTTGGAGATAAAGCTCTCAGTTTGCTGAATTTATTTCTTTGGCTATTAATCTATTTAAGGTTTTGTATGTCTTTTAGGTAATTTTGATTTTTTTTTAAGAGACACAGTCTCACTTTGTCACCCTTAGTAGAGTGCTGTGGCCTCACAGCTCACAGTAAACTCCAGCTCTTGGGCTTAGGCGATTGATTCTCTTGCCTCAGTCTCCCCAGGTGACCGCCACAACGCCCAGCTATTTTTTTGTTGCAGTTTGGCTGGGGCTGGGTTTGAAACCGTCACCCTCAGTATATGGGGCCGACACCCTACTCACTGAGCCACAGGCTTTGCCCGATATTTTATGTATTTCTAAAAATTGTTTTTAAAACATGTTTTCTTAACTTGACTCAGCACCTGTAGCTCAGTGGTTAGGGCGCTGGCCACATACAGCGGGGCTGCAGGGTTCAAACCTGGCCCAGGCCTACTAAACAATGACAACTACAGCAACAACAACAACAACAAAATAGCCAGGAATTGTGGCGGGCACCTGTAGTCCCAGCTACTTGGGAGGCTAAGGCAAGAGAATTGCTTGAGCCCAAGAGTTTAAGGTTGCTGTGGGCAGCGGCACCACGGCACTCTACCAAGGTGACACAGTGAGACTCTGTCTCAAAAGAAGTAAACATAGGCAGTGCCTGTGGCTTAGTGTGTAGGGTGCTGGTCCCATATACTGAAGGTGGTGGGTTTGAATCTGGCCCTGGCCAAACTGCAACAAAAAAAATAGCTGGGCATTGTGGTGGGTGCCTGTAAGTCCCAGCTATTTGGAAGCCTGAGGCAAGAGAATTGCCTAAACCCAAAAGCTAGAGGTTGCTGTGATGCCACAGCACTCTACCAAGGGTGACAAAGTGAGACTCTGTCTCTAAAATAAAATAAATAATAAATAAAGAGGGTGGTGCTTGTGGCTCAGTGGGTGGGGCGCTGGCCCCATATACTGAGGGTGGCAGGTTTGAAGCCGGCCCCTGCCAAACTGCAACAAGAAAATAGCTGGGCATTGTGGCAGGCACCTGTGGTCCTAGCTATTCGGGAGGCAGAAGCAAGAGAATCGTCTAAGCCCAGGAACTGGAGTTTGCTGTAAGCTGTGTGACACCACAGAACTCTACTGAGGGTGAGAAAGTAAGACTCTGTCTCTACAAAAAAAATAAAAAATAAAAAAAAATTAAAAATAAAATAAAAAATTAATAAAAAAAAACCATGTTTTCATAGCAATTAGGATGGAGTTACATACAGTTTTCTCACAATACTTTAAATGTTCTTTGCACCTGTGGTTATCATCTCTTCCCAATGACTTAAGTTTGTTTTTTATCTCCTTGAGTAGGCTAGCTAATGGCTTATTTTTTTTAGTAATTCAAAAAGCCTATTCTTAGATCTGCACATTAATATGACTTTCTTTTAACTCATTGGCTTTTTAAAAATTTCATAATATCATAGGGGCACACACATTTTGATGACCTAATTTGCTTTTATACATTTCAGGTGAAAGTTGTAAGTGCGTCCTTCACCCAGAATGTGTGCACTATACGAGTTAGGTATAAATTAACTCAACCCCTCTTCCAGATACCTGCTTGATTCCCACTGAGTTTTATTTCCATATGTGCATGTAAGTGTTGAAAACTCATTGACTTTTGATGAACTGGCTGGGTTCCTTAAAGTTTTTCCCTTTCACACTTTTTTTTTTTTGAGACAGAATCTCATTTTACATCATCCTCAGTAGAGTGCCATGGTGTCATAGCTTATAGCAACCTCAAACTCTTGGCCTCAAGCGATCCTCTTGCCTCAGCCTCCTAAGTAGCTGGGACTATATGTGTCCACCATGACATCTAGCTAGTTTTTTTTTTTTAAGAGGTAGGGTCCCCCTCTTGCTCAGGCTGGGCTCTAACTTTAGAGCTTAAGCAGCAGTCCACCAGCCTTGGTCTCCCAGAATGCTAGGATTACAGATGTGAACAACAACGTCCAGCCCTAATGAGTCATCTGTAATTTTTTTTTTTTTTTTAGTGTCTCCCTTTGTTACCCTCAGTAGAGTATCATCTTGTGGTGTCATAGCTCACGGCAACCTCAAACTCTTAGGCTCAAATGATCCTTTTGTCTCAGCCTCCCCAGTAGCTGAGACTACAAGCGCCCAACTACAATGCCCAGCCAGTTTTTCTATTTGTAGTGGGGACGGGGTCTAGGTCTCACTCAGGCTGGTCTCATACTCCTAAACTCAGGCAATCCACCCACCTTGGCCTCCTAGAGTGCTAGGATTACAGGAGTGAGTCACCACACAAAAATTAGAAGTTCTGGCTCAGTGTCTATAGTTCAGCAGCTAGGGTGCCAGCCACATACACTGGAGCTAGAGGGTTTGAACCCAGCCTGGGCCTGCCAAACAATAACTACAACCAAAAAATAGCTGGGCGCTGTGGCAGGCACCTGTAGTCCCAGCTACTTGGGAGGCTGAGGCAAGGGAATCACTTAAGCCCAAGAGTTTGAGGTTGTTGTGAGCTGTGACGCCACCGAGGGTGACATAGTAAGACTCTGTCTCAAAAATTAAAAATAAATAAATAAATAAATAAATAAATAAAATAGAAGTTCCCATACTCTCACCTAGAGACACACACTTAACACTTTGGTGTCTTTTCTCCAAAAACACTTTTCTATGCCTTAAAATAATGTATGATAACCTCTTTTAAGATGTTCAACACAGAAACAGAATTATACACTATGCTGCTTTGTAGGTTTTAAAAAATTTTACTACTAAATGGACAAACTCAGCCTCTTATGCTGGTTATTTCTAATTTCGGTATCATAAGCAATGTTGCAATGAACATTCATTCTGATAAACATATCTGCCTATTTGCAAATATGTATTTCTGTAGGATAAACTCTCGTAAGTTTCACTAGTTTGATGGGAGTGAAGCCAAAGTGTTAACACATATTGCCAAAGTATCTTTTTTTTTCATTCTTTTGCTTTGTTTTGCAGTTTTTTGGCCAGGGCCAGGCTTGAACCCACAACCCCTGGTATATGGGGCCAGCACCCTACTCCTTGAGCCACAGGTGCTGCCCTTGCCAAAGTATACTTATCAACATGTTCTTTTTCTTTCTTCTGATATACTTTTTATTTTAAGAGTCTCACTCTGTTGGCCAGGCTAGAGTGCAATGGTATCAGCCTAGCTCACAGCAACCTTAAACTCCTAGGCTTAAGCAATCCTCTTGCCTCAGCCTCCTGACTAGCTGGGACTATAGGCACCCACCACAACACCTAACTAATTTTTCTATTTTTAGTAGAGACGGGGGTCTCTCTCTTGCTCAGGCTGGTCCTAAACTCCTGAGCTCCAGCAATACTCCCACCCTGGCCTCCCAGTGTAGTAGTAGGATTATAGGCATGAGCCACCATACCCGGCCTTCTGCTTTTTAGTCTATTTTTGTGAGATAGGGTCTTGCTCTATTACCTGGGCTAAAGTGCAATGGCATCATTCATTATAGCTCACAGTAACCTAAAACTCCTAGGCTCAAGCAATCCTCCTGCCTCAGCTTCTAGGTAGCTGGGACTACAAAGCATGATGGCTAATTTTATTTTTAAAGAATATATATTTTTTATTTTTGTTTAGCGGGCCCAGGCTGGGTTTGAACCACCACCCCTGCTACATAAGGCTGGTGTTCAAACCACTGAGCTACAGGCACCCCCTAATTTTTAAATTAAGAAAAAATTTTTTGTAGAGATGGGGCCTCACTATTGCCCAGGCTGGTCTCAAACTCCTGGCCTCAAGTGATCCTTCTACCTCAGCTTCCCAAAGGGCTAGGATTATAGGTGTGGGCCACCATGCCTGGCAACAGAACATTTATTTTTAACCCTTATCACCAGGCTAAGAAAACAAGCAATTCTCAAAATTTCTCCCAGGAAAGGAGGGTCAGAAAACATGCTCTTTGTTCCAGGCTTGCAACTACCCTGCCTATTTCAGGTCTGCTATAATATACCAGAAGGCAGGGTATAAAAATAAAACACAAAAGGCTTTCTGTTCAGGGTTTTATGTATGATTCCTCTTTGCAGAACTGATTTTTGATAAATTGGCTTACTTCCCTGTGTAATCAACAAACCATGTCCAAAAGATCAGCCCACCTGGGCCACCATACTTAGAGCAGACAGAGAATTGTGGCAATTTCGTGCACAGAAGACTGTCAGCCTACAAACAAACCGAAGTTAGGAAGCAAGAAAAAGCCACACAATACCAGGTGCTAATAAATAGTAATTAACCAATGAAAAAAATTCAGACCTAAGCATGATAGCAGAGGATAAAAATCAGAGCTAATAAAACAGACAGTAAACCCATATTTACTGCTTATAACTATTTTTTTTTTT